GTTTCCTTTACCAGTTAGATTTTGTTTGTTTGTTTGTTTTTTTGCTTTCTTGGAGAGATTTTTTTTTATTTCTTTTTTTTTTATTTTTCTTTATTAAGAAATTTTCTACTCATTCTACATATCACCCACAGATCCCATCTCCTCCCCCTCCCATCCCCCAGCCTTCCCTCCCAAGCCACCCCACATCCCCACATCCCCCAAATCAAGGTCTCCCATGGGGAGTCAGCAGAGCCCAGCACACTGAGCCTAGGCAGGTCCAAGCCCCTCCCCACTGCACCAAGGCTGCGCAAGGCATCACACCACCAGCACTGGGCTCCCAAAAGCCTGCCCATGCACCAGGGACAGATCCCTATCCCCCTGTCTGGGTGCCCCCCAAACAGTTCAAGCCAAACAACTGCCTTCTGTATCTAGAGGGCCTAGTCCAGTCCCACGGGAGTTCCACAGCCACTAGTCTGCAGTTCATGGCTTCCACCAGTGTGACTGGTTATCTCTGCACGTCTTTCCATTGTGATCTCAGCGTCCCCTACCTGCAGAATCCCTCCTTTCTCTCCTCGATTGGATTCCTGGAGCTCAGCCTGGCACCTGGCCATGGATCTCTGTATCTGCCTCCATCAGTTACTGGACAAAGGCTCTATGATGGCAGTTAAGGTATTCACTTGACCGGTCACCAGAGTAGACCAGTCCAGGCACCCTCTAGACCACTGCCAGCACTCCCAGGTGGGGTCATCCTTGTGGATCCCTGAGAGCCTCCCCAGCACCCTGCCTCTTCCTATTCCCACGATGTCCTCATCTATCATGGTATCTCCCTCCATGCTCTCTCACTCTGTCCCTGTTCCAACTTGACCCTCCCATTTCCCTATGTTCTTATCCCCACTCCTCGCCCTCCGCCCTCCCCCCCCACTCCCAGTCCACTCATATAGATCTCATCTACTTCTCCTTCACTGGGCCATTCATGTGTCCCTCCTAGGGTCTTTCCCTATTAGCTAGCCTCTCTGGAGCTGTGGGTTGCAGTCTGGCCATCCCTTCCCTCACATCTAGAATCCACTTATGAGTGAGTACATACTATGTTTGTCCTTCTGAGTCTGGGTTACCTCACTCAGGATATTTTCTAGTTCCATCCGTTTGCCTGCAAATTTCATGATATCATTGTTGTTTACTCTGAGTAGTACTCCATTGTGTATATGTGTCACATTTTCTTTATCCATTCTTCATCCATTCTTCAGTTGAGGGGCATCTAGGTTGATTTTTTTTTTATTTCTTTCATTTTTTTGTTTGTCTTTTCCTCATTTCTTTAAGGGAATTTTTTTACTTCCTCTTTAAGGGTCTCTATCATCTTCATAAAGTTATTTTTAAGGTCATTTTCTTCTGTTTCATCTGTGTTGGGATGTTCAGGTCTTGCTGTTTTAGAACCACTATTTCTGGTGGTGCCATATTGCTCTTTATGTTGTTGAATGTGTTCTTACACTGCAATTTACCCACCTGGGTTTGGCATAATTATAGGTACAGGTGTTGATTTTTGTGATGTCTTTGTTGGATGGGTCTTTTGTTCCTATATTGTCTTTTGGCCTGAATGGCCAAGGGTTCTGGTGATTGGCTAGTTGTCTGTTTAAGTAGGGTTGTCTCAGCTGAGGTTAGTGGGGGTTTAGATGCCTAGATCCAGTGTATTGTCCAGTTCTTCTGGCTGGTATGGGCTTTCCTTGTGCCTATGGGGTCTTCTTCCGACTGGAGTGGGTTGTTCCTGTACCTATAGAGTCTGTTCTTCCAACTGGTGTAGGTTTTGCCTGCACCTGTTCTTCTAGCTGGTGTGGATGGTGCATGTGCTTATAGGGTCTGCTGATGTTGCTGGAGAGGACTGTTCATGGGGAGGCTGCTCTCCTACCAATCGGTGCAGGTGGTACTTGTGCCTCTAGGGGGATGGTTGGCCAGAAGGATGATAGGTTTGGTGGGTTTGGGTGTCATAGTGGATCTTGTAGGTTACAGAGTCCAATGGGTGGCAGTGGTGGTGGAGGGGCCTACCCACAGTACTCTTACCTACTGACTGACTGCTGGGGCTGAGATGGCCTGATTGTTTTCTATTCAGAGAGAGGGAGTGGATCCAGATGGGACAGGAGGTGGGGAGGAACTGGGAGGAGTATAGGGAGAGAAAACTGTCATCAGGATATGTGAGGGGAAAAAATCTACTTTCAATAAGTGAGAAAAAAGAATTAGAAATGGCTTATTAAGAAAGGAAAGGCACTCTCCAGAATTAGGAGTGGGCAAGTGAGGAAAGGGCCCCCAAAGCACCCACCAGGAGGTTTAAGACCTTCTATAAGACAGCTACACAGAACTGGAGCATGCTCTGTTCCTTAGATGAAGCCCAGGTGAAGAAGGGCTTCCAGTCTTTTACTGCCAGCTGGCTTCCTTCTGTTTTGATCACCATGCAGCTCTTTACAGTCTCCCTACTCCTGTTACAGAAGCACCCCTCACTGAAGACGTCAGTCCAAGCAGCCTTCTCTCTGTATTAACATGGATTAGACTAGCCTCAGAGAGCTGTATGGATGAAAACATAACCAGTCAGGGAAGTGAATTGAGAGTGGTTGCCATTGTATCTTACTGAGGAGTCTTATCTATTTAATGGACAAAGGTTCAATAATGAAGAAGCTGTGGTTGACAAACAAGGCCAGTGCAAGATCAAGCCAGTCAACACTCCAGCACAGCAAGGGACTTAGGGGGCCCACCCCAACTGAGGGGCTATTGGCATTTGATGACCCCTGGGGGAGGAAGAATCCCTTTTCTTCAAAGGTGGCCCATGCTCCAGTGGGCATCATTAACGTAATCCAGTGGGCATCATTAACTGAATTCAGTGGGTTATAAAAAAAAGCATGGAAGACATGAAGTCAGGAGGGAAATGTGGAGGGGAGGTCCTGGGGGAGTTGGAGAAGGAAAGCAGGAAGTGGGGTGGGGGTATGACCTTACACATGGCATGCATGTATGAAATTACTAAAGAATAAATAAAAAATTTTAAAGGAAAAATGGCTCTTTGTGGGGGAGTCTTTGCTCATTCTATAATTAGAGTTTTGTTTTCTTGTTGTTGAATTGTTTGAGTTCCTTGTGCACTTTGGATATTAACCTTATGATGTATGGCTTGGCGTGTTTTCCTTCAGTTTGCTTCCTTGGAACTGAGAAGCACTTTTGCACGATGTAACAATACTTGTACATTTTTTCTCTTTGCTTTTGGAGATAATATAATATAATATAATATAATATAATATAATATAATATAATAATTTTTTCAAGGATCTGGGTGTGGTGGCATACTTCTTCAATTCCAGCACTTGAAAGGTAGAGGCAGGTGGATCTCTGTCTTCAAGGCTAGCCTGGTCCTCATAGAGAGTTCCAGCCAAGATAACATAATGAGACCTTATCTGAAAAGCAGTGTTTTAAACCATGAAAGGCCAAGACCAATGTCTCAGCGTCATGAAAACTCTTCCCCCTTTGTTTTCCTCTAGTAGTTGTACAGTTTGGGGTCTTATGTAGGACACTTTAATGTTTGGGGGTTGATCTTTGTATATGGTGAGACAGAATGGTTCAGTTTCATGGACTGAATGTGGATATCTATCTAGTTTGCCCAGCATGACTTATTCAAGACACTGTCCTTTGCCCAGTGTGTGCTTGTGCCATAGAGATGTGTGGATTTACTCTTGGATGCTCTATGCTGTTGCGTCGATCCAAGTGTCTGTTTGAATGTCAACATCATAATATTCAGATCAACGCTCGCTAATAGATTTTTAATTCAGGTGTTGTGGTTCCTCTAGCTTTTTTCTTTTTGATCAAGGTTGCTGTGGCTATTTGGAGACTTTTATTATTCAATAAGAATCTCATTTTTTTCTTAGTTCCATGAAAAATGACATCAGAATTGTGATAAGAATTGCATTGATCTGCAGATCACTGAGTAATTTAGATATTTTAACAACATCAGTTCTCCCAATCATGAAAAGTTACCACATGCTATCTTTCCATTTATTGGTGTCTTGCTGTGTTCCTTTCATCAATGATCGACAGGGTTCAGTACATGCATCTGTCATCTCCTTGGTTAAATATTCTCCTGAGTAGGTTTAGGGACTGCAAGTGAGATTGATTGTCTTCTTAATTTCTTTTTCAGATAATTTGTTATTGTTATATATAAGCATAACTGATTTTCTCCACAGACCTTCAGAACAATACAGGCTATTGACATTGCTCTTAGTTGCCCACCTGAACTTGATGGTAAGACCCTGTTGCTGAAGACACACACAGGCTAGTCACAGGACATGAAAAAATCAAGTCAGTGCTTACCAGGAACTCTCCTCTCTACTGGATAGCTTGCATAGTACCAGAAGATGCTGTGCAGGCTTCTTGGGGCTTCTTGGGGTGGGGGTGGGGTTGCAATAATGACAGTCAACAGCCTTATCAGCTGTGAGCCCTGTGAACTATAATAATAACCATAGTGGCAAGTTATGCCCATGGATACAATTGTGGTATGTATGTATGTATGGGGTATCCAATTGCTTTCTGATAGGATTTAAAGGCTTCCTCATAGGAGGAAACACATGCCTGGCACTGCAAACCTGACCAAGATCCCATGGTTGGGGAGCTCACAGGCCCCAGAAGTGAGTCTACTATTATTATTCTGCTAAATGGACATAGTATCAAATTGCACTCTTAATCTATCTCTCTCTACTCATAGATTAGTGTTGCTCTCAGATCTCATCCATGGAGTTTCTTTGTGCAGCTAATGATAGTCAAATTACAGATAATGTGTCAGTAGAGTGCTGAGCCACAAATGGGTCATCTATATCACACATACGCACACACATGCACATGCACACGGACACACACACACACACACTCCAGGGCTAAGGGATGACTGCAGATCTGAGGCTGAAGGATGGCTGAGATCTGAGGCAGGGGGATGGCTTAGTGAGTAGATTTCTGTTATTCAGCATCCATGTTAAAAAACAAGCAAATGAAAAAATGAATACCTGAACACAGTGTTCCAGTCTGACAGCAGCACTGGGGGGAGTGGGAAAGTTGATCCTTGGAGCTGGTTGGCCAGACAGCCTAGCCGCACTGATGAGCTTCAGATCTCCATCTCAAAAATAAAATGGAGAGAATAAGGAAGACACTGGCTGTCTAGCCTCCACACACATGTGCACATGTATACAACATACCCACACAAACATGTACATAAGACACACACACACACAGTGCCAGGAGGGAAATCTGAGGTCTCACTAGGCTGAGAATACAGAGTTGGAACTCCCCAGTGAACCTAACCCCATTACCTGGGTCTACCTTCTACCAGGGTATCCCTATTCAGATACTCCCGTGCTCATGAAATGGCTGCACCCACTCCCTCTGATCCCTTGGAGAATCCATAATTCCAGCCCTATTCTGCATTCCTGCCCCAGTTCCCCCTGCTGTCCATGGGGTCCACATGCCCTTCTGTGCACAACTGGTGACCATGCTAATTCCCTGGTAGACTGACCCCGGACACCCTTCACTCGGTACTGCTAAGTTGCCCAAGCCTCTGGGAAGCATTTTGGCTTAAATATGTTCCTTCCATAAAAGACTGAATCCTAACTCCCTAGTCATACAGGAGATTAGAGCTTTGCAGTAATACCCAAGTTAATACAGGGTCATTAGGACGCGAACAAATCAGAAACATATGGGTTCGTATCCCCCATACTGCAAATGGGTTTATGGGTATTAAAAATATGTTTAGATTTCTGAGACAATCTGGGTACCAGCATGTGCCAGCTGCCCAGGATGGGAGAACACAAAGCTAGGGGCTCCAGATGTCATTGACTCTGCATATAAAATTCCAGGAAGCCAACAACCATGAGCTACAGACCTATCACATGATCCCCTCCTTATTCTCCCAGTGTCCCATGATTGACCAACCTCACCTTCCAGGTGGAGAAACTGAGGCACACACAAGGTCATGATCAGGCATCTGCATTCTCTGAGGCTAAGTCCCATTACATTCTGCATAATGAGGGCTCAGGAGCCTCAGGGGCCCCTGCAGAGACAGGCAGTTCAAGAGAAGCACCAGGTTTGAGCACAGCTGCGTCAGAGAAGGGGCTCTGGGCACACGGCGGGGGAGAGGGGGCAGTGGAACATGGCCCTCCTCATCCATGGCATGGAGAATGCTAAATCCCTATTGGGAGCAATGTTCTTGTGGCTTCTGGATGCACAGATGGGCTGTGGGCTGTAAGCACGCACATGGTGTCTTGGTTTGTGGTCTGACTGCATCAGGAGGTGGGTGGCCTGACCTTGGGGCACAGCCAGGTGGTGTAAGTGACCTCAGGTGGGACTGATGGCTTCCCAGGACTGGAATCTCCATCACACGCCACCCACACTGTCCTGGGCTTTGAGCCCATTGTCCCCGGATGGCTCTGGCTTGCTGTCCAGTGATTCTCCCTGGAGTCTCAGCTATCAGGGGAGCTACTGTGGGTCATCTGAGGCCACTTCCTCTTGACAGGGAACAGTCAATGGAGAGAATCAGGGGCTGTGAGGACTCAGTACTGCCTCCCCTAAATAAGCTGAGCTGGGGCAGGGCTGGGGAGACACTGGGGGTACACATTCACTTATGCCAAGACTGGCAGGGATGAAGCCACAAGCCCAAGGAACCACAGGTTCCGCTGAGACCTCTTTGCACCCATTTTGGCCTGTAGTTTATTCCCAAGTCCCAATGAGGTGCTTGCCCATACAGCAGGCTCATCCACACCTGTGTGTCTCTTCCACACCTTAGTGTCTTTGTCTCTGTCCCTACCTTCCAAGCTGCTGTTCTTCAACAACTGCAGACTGACTCAGCTCTTACTGTCATGGTAGAGTCTGCCTAGCCCAAGGTGTCCGCCTTTTGAACCTATGCCCATCCTCTCAGATGTGTGTGTGTGTGGGGGGGAGAACCAGAGAACGTCACCTTCCTCCTCAGCCACGGTGCTTTGAGGGTTTGCTTAGGAGATGGCGTCACTGTCCTTCTTGTTTAGGAGATGATGTCATCATCCCTCTCCTCACCACACTCTTTGACCCCCACACCCAGCATAATCTGCAGCTGATGTTTCTTCACCTTCCTCAGAGCAGCAGAGAAGCTCAGAAAGGCTGTTGGCCCATTTGTGAATACCCCCTGCTGCTATCCGTACCACTAGCAGCAACCCCTGAATGTCAGTCTCCTACACATGGAGTGCATCAGGCACAGGCCTGCAGAGTGGAATATTTGAAAGCTCCTAGGAGAAAAGATGGGAAGCGAGTCTGAGCAGTTTGACTCTTGTGATTGAGTATTGTCTCAGCCCACCACTCTAGATCACTCCTCATCCCATCTCCTGAGCAAAGTCTACGCAAGGCAGAAAAGCTCCCAGCCTGCTTGCATCTCCCTTGTCCATCTCAGGAAACCTGTGTGGGTTCTGGAAAGGCATCTGTAGGCTGGACATCTGTAGGACTAAAATTTAATCTCCTTGGGAAAGAGGTATATGAGAGCTTTATTCGGGAGTTCTTAAAGCCTAGAGGTAAGGGACAGACACTCACTGAAAAGCTATTGGCAATTTATGGCCACTAAGAGAGAAGAAGTAGTTTTCCTCAGAGATGTGGCCTCCTGAGGCTACTTGTGTTCTGGTGGCTGGTTCTGAACCTGTGCTCCCTCGTAGATGACTCTGTGCCCTACACAGGCAATAGGAAGTGGGCTCAGTGGGGCTTTTCCAAAAAGGTGTGAAGAAAAGTGGTAGAGGGAGTAGATTGGAGGAGAAGGAATGGGGTGGATTTGATCAAAACACAATGTATGCATGGGTGAAATTATCAAACAATCAATTTTTTTTAATTTAAGAATAAAAGAAATATTACCTCAGCCACAACTGCCCTGGTGAGAGACAGAAAAAAAAAAATCACTGGGTCTTTGTTTTAGTAGTTTTCATCCCCAAAGATGCCTTTACCACGTGGGATTCCTATGATCTTCATCAACGTCAAACTCAGCTGACAGCTCCAGAGAGTCTGTGCTGCACTCTTACTGCACAGTTAGCCAGCCTTTGTACTCACTCACAAGAGAAACCCCTTTCCTATCAAAACCATCCCACGGGGCTGGAAACAGCTCAGCGGTAGGGTGCTCTCTTAGCGTGTATTAAGATACTGGGTTCCATCCCCAGCACCCAAGAAAACAAACAAGCAAACAAAAAATAATAGGAAACAAAAAAGTAATCAAGGGTTGGAGAGATGGCTCGGCCATTAAAGGCTAGGCTCACAACCAAAAAAAAGTAACGACAACCAATCCGTAAAAAAGTGGCTGCTTCCACATCTGTGCGAATACCAGTCTAGAGCAACACAACAAGAAAAAGCAATGGGATGCACACCACTGAAAAACACATTGTGATACACCTTTGCGATCCCAGCTCTCGGGAGACTGAATCAGGAGGATCAGTACAAGTTTGAAGCTAACCTGAGCTACTTGCCTAGATTCTGTCTAGAAAACATCTCCTATCTTACCAAAAGTACCCCACAAAACAATGGCTGTCCCCTCCCCAAATGGAGATCTACAAACTGCTTGACAAAGAATTCCAAGTAATTAATCATGGAACTCAGAAAACTTCAAGATAACACAGAGAAACAATGAGATAAAACAAGAAAACGGTATGCTAATGAGAAATGGAAATTTTAATAGAGATTGAAATAAAAAAATTTAAAACATAAGAGTTCAGCAATGAAGAATATAGTAACTAGAATGGGAAAAAATGCAATTAAAAGCATAACCACATAACTGATTGAGCAGGATCAATAACAACTCAAACTCATCAGAAAATGAATTATTAATTAAAAATAATGAAGAGGGCCGGGCGGTGGTGGCGCACGCCTTTAATCCCAGCACTCGGGAGGCAGAGCCAGGTGGATCTCTGTGAGTTCGAGGCCAGCCTGGACTACCAAGTGAGTTCCAGGAAAGGCGCAAAGCTACACAGAGAAACCCTGTCTCGAAAAACCAGAAAAAAAAAAAAATGAAGAGGAATTAAGTTTGTGGGGTTTAAGTTACAGAAATTAAATTAAACTTATTATTTAAATATATAGTCACCGAGAGGCTGGAGAGATGGCTCAGTGATTAAGAGTACTGTCTGCTCTTGCAGAGGACCTGGGTTCAGTTCCAAGCTACATGGTGGCTCACAGCTCTATGTTACTCCGGTTGCAGGGGATTTGATGTTGTCTTCTGGCCTCTGTAGGCATGGCAAGCACACAGCACACATACACACATACATACATACATACATGCATACATACATACATACATACACACAAAGTCATAAAATATTTATAAAATACTTAGCTGGAAAATCCATAAATCTGAGGAAAGTAATCAGATTCAATCCAAAGAAACCTACACCAAGGCAAATTTTCTACAACTGAGGACAAAGAGAGGGACCTGAAGACACCAGGAGAGAAGGAGCAGATGACCCCTAAGACAGCCCAAGTTGTTAGCCTAGCATCAAATTTCTCAGAAGGACCCTTAAAGGCCAGGGCAGAATGGGATAATATATTTAAAATGTTGAATGAATAAAATAGCCGGCCAAGAATGTCACCATTAAAAGTCACCCTTCATAATTGAAGGGATGATGAACCAAACTTTCCCAGATAACGAAAGTGGGAAAAGTCATTTATCATTAAACCCACCATACAAGAGAGCAAAACAGAGCCCCAAAGCTGATAAAGCCTTTATATTAATCACATGAAGCATAAAATAAAAATAAAATAAATCAAAAAAATAGAGTGATTGAGTAACTAAACCATTAAAAAGTAGTTGATCCAGTGATAGAAACTCTAACTAAGACAGAAGTTGTTACCAGCAACTAGTATTGCTGTGATAGGCCTGACTGTTTTTGCTTGGAGGAATTTGGACTTTGGGTTATGAAAACAGTGAAATGCTTTAAGTACTACTTAATGGGGCACACTAGTAGGAGCATGGAAGACAATGGTGCTGATAATGATTTGAACTGTTGGGGGCTGGCTCAAGAGGTTTCAGAGGAGAATTTTAGTATGTCGCCTAGAGATTGTTCTTGTGATATTTTGGTGAATAAAGTGGCTACTTTTGCCCTTGTTTAAAGAGTCAACCTGAGGTTA